TAGCCGTGGGGACAATGAGTGTGTCTCCGGGGAGCAGGTGGAGGAATAGACTGAGAGAGAAAAGAGCCCGGGGTGGGGCGGGGGGAAGTGGGGGGGTAGCTGAGAGACTGACCCAGTGCTTGTGTTGATATGGGAAAGTGGTGACCCCAGAGGGAAGCACGCCGCTGGCTCATGTCATCTCAACCGCCACGTAATTGAGCACAAAGTGCCTCCGCCACCAGGCACACGTGGGAGCTACCGAGGGCCAAGCATTAGAAAAGGCCAACTTGCAGCCACTTCCACCGGATTGACACGGCAGACTTTCTCGTGGAGCTGTGCAACAGTTGAGATGTCTTAGAGATGGAAAGAAAAAGTGACTCTCTGTAGGTTTTGTGACTCAAATAAAATGTACTTGATGAGGAAAAGAACCACATGTGGACTCTTACATTCATATTTCTGTTTGACCCACATACAGTTTCCATTATTTATTGGTTCTTTAATATGATACAGTTTTTTTAAATGTTCTTTTCTTTTGGGTTTTGTGTGGGCAAGGTAGCGTCAGGTGAATTTTAGAGATCCTAATTATTCAAATGTAAATACTTATCACAGTTTAATGACCAACCTTCTGGTTGAACTGTAAATTATACAATTGTAAATAACATCTTTTGATGGTTATCTTTCACCATAATTTGTAATTTCTCTTTTATATCTCTGCATCTTGATCTTAATTTGGTCGTGCTTTGGAGGCCTTACTGTTAAGCTTTCTGTTGTTATATTACCTTTTGCCCTGTTTTTTTTTTCATCTGTCAAAGCACTTTGCAAACTCTGCTTTTAAAGTGTCACTGAAACAAATCAATACTTACACTGGATATTTTTGCTTGAGTAAAGGACTCAAAAGAGGCTGGCATGCTTTTGAAGTTCAGTCTGTCCACTTCAATTTGACCGTTGGTGAGATGATTTGACTCGCGGGAGAAGAAGAGTGCTTCAACCATAAACATCCTAACAGCCTCCACACTCCCAGCACATGTTCACACATCAGGCAAACCCTCACATACTCTTACCACAGACAGCCCCTCATTCCCTTTCTCTCCCCACACACACACACACAGCTGGCTGACCTGCCTGCCGCTGGCCACGTCTCAGTCACACGCTCCCTTCCTGCCTGTGTGGAACGTGGGAGCCGCTGTGGTCCCAGGCTTCCCACACTTCAGTGTTAATGACACTGAGGCCGGCTGCACAAAGGAAGTGTGCCCCATCGAACAAAGATTGAGTGACCAACCCACTCCCACCCACCCTCCCTTCACTCACTCACTCACTCACTCACTCACTCACTCNAGACACACAACACTCTCTCTCTCTCTCCCTCCCTCACTCACAACATGACACACACACACTTCTCTCTCATAGCACACACGACACACACACACACACACACACACACACACCACACACACCACCACACACACACACACACACAGCAACACACACACTTTTGGCTCTCTTTACACACACCACCAACAACAGACCACACACGACACAAAAACACACACACACCACACTCACACACATAACACACACATCACACACACACACCACACACACACACACACAACAAACTTTCTCACACACACAACACAACCACACAACACAACACACACAACACACACACACACACAAACACACACACGCACGCAGCACACATACACACACACACACACACAACACACACCCACACACCACACGCTCTCACACACACAAACCACACGCATCTCTCTCTCCTCACTCACTCACTCCCTTCACTCACTCACTCACTCACTCACTCACTCACTCACTCACTCACTCACTCACTCACTCACTCACTCACTCACTCACTCACACACACACACACACACACACACACACACACACACACACACACACACACACACACACACACACACACACACACACACACACACACACACAGTTCTGTCGGCAGGGCTTCCAGGCACACCATCTGGACGGATCGTATGCTATTGTCAGCCAATCAAGCATGGGAGACGCTCACCGTGAGAATTGGAGAGGATGAAATAGAGACAGAAAGTTCAAAAGAAGAATAGGGAGTGTGTGTGAAACTTGTGGATAGTTTGAGGAAGTTTATTTTACAGTATGGGCTTACAAATGTAAACTTGTCTGAGCAAAGAAAAGTTATAAAAAGTAGAATATAGGTGAAAAAACACATATTAAGGATTAAAATATTAGCCTAAGGAAAAAAGATTAGAATAATTTGAAACTGTGATAATTTTTGTATTATTCGGATTTAGGAAAGACATGCATTTTTGAACATTCCATCCAATTTTTGACCAAAAATGGAAGTTGTCAGTCTGTCATACAGAACATCTCTCTCCACCAGTTTGTTGAATGGGCGAACTTCTCCTCCATGTAGGACGACCTCGGGCTGACATTTTCCTCCATGTTCCCACCACATATCACTCCCAGTCGACACAATGACAAGGATATATCCATCGCTGTGGAGCATCAGCTGAGTGACAACAGGACAACGAAGGGCCCCTCCCACCTGTTTGTTTGGATTTGGGCCATTGTACCCCATGAATTCAACTAATTCATTCACATCCTATTGTCATAACACTGCTTTGTGATTGGCCAAACAGTGTGAGAACCAGCATCACATTAAATCGATGGGAAAGTTGGTATGAGTATAAAAAGGAACGAGGTCGTGGTGGGAATAATCATAACTCTGAACGCTCCCGACTGACTGGACACTATCTGATATTCACCATGAGGGACCAGCACACAACGTAAGCTCAGATCCACAGAACTCATCTGAAGAAGAAGTTCATTTGATGCATTTGTTTCCTTTATCTCACTCAAGGTCACGCTGAGGTCATGGGGATGATTTTCTTAGTTTGGATGTGTTACCGTGGGATGATGCAGGAATTTAATTGACCAAGAACTTTCAATCAATATTGAATGAAAGACTAAGCTATGAGGCAGATGATCAAAGTTATCTATTGAAGGAACAGTTCATCACCAATTTAGCACTGACCCATATTGTAAATGTGTTTTTATTTAAACAGTTTTTAAGATTTTTGTCTGAGAGTTTTGCCTCCATACAAGAGTATGGAGAACAACAGTTTTTTATATTTTCAAACTTTTTAAAGTATTAATACACTCATTTGGAAAAGACTATTGCAGTTGAAAATGATATTGTTTTTAGTCTGGGAGCCCCGCAAAGGAGAAGACAGCTTGTGTTTGTTTCACTATTGGGAAGGGAGATTTTCTTGAATTTCGTAAACAAACACTATGTATCCAGCATTAACTTGATGTTTCTCCTTTTAATCTTCAGCCTGTGTAAGATGATGGTTTTGGAGAGGAACTGCACGGACCGAGCGGTGAGGCTTCGCTCAGCCCTGGAGAACCAGCTCAACTCTGGGGTCTCCAGCGCTGACGTTTGGGACAAGACGCTCTCTTTCTTCACGGTGAAGAAGGCCTTGATCTTCCAAAACGGCTACAGCAAATCCTCCAGAGAGGCCCTGCGGCTTTTCCCCTCACCTGCCGAGGACGTGGCCCCCCTCTGCTGCCAGTGAGAATAACTAGACATGAATACGAGATGCAATGAGATGTGGGAGTGTGTTTATGTGCGTCTTCAAAGTGCTGAGAAGAAGGGGGTCCAAATGGAAAGTATTTTTCAGACGGAAAGAGGACTTTGAATCCAAATCTTGTTTGGTATTTTCACTCCACAGTTCTGTCACTGTTCTGTCCACGTGTTGTTAGTGGAAAAGATGTGAGATGTATGCCATAAACACAAGTTACTGGTCCACAAAGAGACCATAAATTGTGCATCCTTTGCCTTAACTGCTCCTTAAGACTCACTAATAGACCATGTTGAAGAGGTTTTGTTAAACTAAAGCCATAATCCTTTGTATAAAGGGGAAATGTGTATGCCAATGCATACTTTGTTTTGTAAATGTTTTTACATTGTGTTGAGTGATGTTATATTAAATTGTGTTGCTGCAAGCCATTATGGACATGTGCAATATCTGCTTTCATATGCAAGTTAAAAAATAAATTGATATTGTTTTCTTAACTTTTGCTGTTAGAGTTGAAAATACATAAACTCTGATTGTGTTCAGCTTACGTGCATACTATATCAGAGCTTATTTGGTTTACAGGTTGGAAATAGGGAGTTACCGATTCATGTCTTAATGCGTATCGCCCTCTAGTGGCCGTTTTAAAATCAATTCATGACAGATATATTTTTGAAGAAATGTTTTAATCTTTATATATACAGTCTATGGTTTTAATGCTATTATTAAACCCTAAAATAATTAACGGCAGTAGATGTTTAATTAAATATAATTCAAAAAAACTGAATAAACTAGTAATTACCCACTTGCCCAAATCTGCGTGCATCTTGACGGGACATTTGTTATCCTGACTTTGCCAACATCTGTGAAACGACCAATCCTAACTTCAACCAGCTGCCAAAGTTTCTTAAATCGAGGCTTATAATCTCAACACGACCGTCTTACACTGGCTTTTTTCAAAGCAGAATCTTTTTACAAGGTAAGAAAAGCTCAGTTGTTGCCAAACATTATCGATTCTCTTTTCTATTCAAATGTCCCATCAAGGCAGCATAATTAAACTGACATGTCATCCGTGTTAAAAGTCCTTTGTGTGCAGTTTTACTGTAGAACGTTTGTGTGAACAGAAGAGGCTACCCTGGGTCTTATTTGTAATTATTATGGCTTTATTAAGCATAATCTAAATTCAGAAAGCAGACATTCAGCATCAGTTGAACATTGTAGCAGCGGGAAAATGAACAGTAAAGTGGGGGAAGTCCACACCATGCATTCAGCTCTCAGGTACAGGAGGCCGTCTGCAAGATGAACATCGATCGCAGAGGATCAACCTTTGTTTTCCAGAAATCTGTTTTTGGGATTGACACAGGAGTTTTGGCCCGAGCAATGAAGAAACTGCTGAGGAAGAAGTCCGACAGAACAATTAGTCAAAGAAAAGTGTTTAAGGATATAATGTAGGTCTGTTTTATTATTCATTTAGACAGGTGTCATCGACCGTTGCAACAGATGGAATCTTTCACAAGTCCAAAATTCACTTTGTCACAAAGGCATAGCTTTATGGAAAAAAAACACTTTCGTCGTTCTTTTCATTTGACTTCTGAGGTTGATAAAAGAAACCTTACACACACACACACACACACACACTAAATCAAACAACCTTTTCTGTCCATCACTCATATTCCAGTTTGAACCTACATGAAGAACAAACAACAAGAGCCCCGAAGAAAAGGACAGGTTAGCTTAGCAACCATGAGACACTGAAACCGTCTGTCATTTTAAAAAGCCTGACCAAAAACAAACTTAAACCGAACAAAGAAAAAGTAAAACATGATAAAATCAAATGCAACTCTTAACACGTGGTGGGTCGAATCCCAAACTCTTTTTAGTTACCTTAACCATTCACCCAAACATTAGGGGAGGAGGGGGAGGGGTTTGAAAGCCAAAATAATGTCCACCCTAAAACAGAATTCACAAGTGATTTGCAATAACGTTAATGGAAAAGCGTCCCCGATCTCTTGTTTCAACCTTTTCATAATTGTTAGCTTAGCATTCTGAATCAGAGGGGGAACGGGTAAATTCTGTTTAAGTGTTACCCTTTAATAGCATTGTGTTTTTGTGTTGAACGTTACAGAGATGTTTCAAAGTGGATGATTCTTAGACTACGCATAGTTTCTGCTTAAAGTGAATTTGAAGATGTCTTATGGGGGAGGGAAAGGTGAGTAGGAGGGAAAAGTGTGTACTCTGTGTGTGTCCTCAGCAAAAGAGAAACTCTTTTTTTTTTTGTTGGTAGGTGTTCCAACTTTATTTGCAGGGTTGTTTTGGAGGGGTGTGGGTTGAGGTTGGCCTTCAGGGCAAAGAGTTCAACAAATCCTGCAGGAAGAGGTCCGGGTCTGGGATTTCAGAGAGAAGACCTGGAGGAGAGAAGGACCTTTCGTAATCACATTCACAAAATAATAATAAATAAATAATGAAATGTAACTTAAAATACTTTACCATACATTATGTGAAGGAACACATTTGTTTGGTCAAATTTAGGATATGCAACTTTTTTTTTAAACATTCCTCCAAGAGAATAAAAAACTATGGTGAATAAAGTAATCCAGAATAAAAGGTAAAATAAATATATATCAACATAGTGATAGTCTTTCCTTTCCAACAGGATCATTCATATATAAAAAAAAATATCGGCTCCATTATTCACTTTTGAAGATAATTGTTAGGGATTTTGATCCAGAACCACAAAATATTCTTATGCTGTCCAATCAGAGACCATCCCAGGAGAGTAATGTACAGAATCATCTCTGAAGCTTTAAATGTTGATGAAGGCAGTTGTTTAGTTATCAGGTGTGTTTGTATACTGACCTACAACATCACAGAACTCTGACAAGGACTCAGCGGGCATGAGTTCGTCCTGGAAGGCCCTCAGCACGCGCTCCGAGGCCTCGTAGATGGGCATGTCGTTGTGACGGACATACTCTGCCAGCGAGAAGGACCAGCCCCCCTCTGTGTTACTGGTGGGAACTTTCTGTAAGCCAAAGAGGAGGAAGAGAAATGAAGTGAAGGCCAGGGAGAGGAATCACTGCAGGTCAAGTCTACAGTGGAAATAAAGCAGTTATCATATATAATCCCAGTAGGACTGATTGAAGAAAAAAGGTCTTGACTAACTTCAAAGGTTTCGTGTCAACAGTAAAGTTAGCCGTTACTATTTGCAACTTTACGGAGATATCAAAGACGTGACCAACATCAGAGCACCAATTGATCAAAGCATGACGACCAAAACCATAACATATACATGGCAGATTGTTATTTGGATAATGCTTGTAGTTTTGAAAGTGTAACGCATTTATATTACCCTGAACATGTCGTAGACAAGATCCACCAGGGCCCAGAAGAGAAGAGGCGAGCGATATACTGCATATTCCTTTGGTGATTTATCTGTGAGTCTGACATTCAGAAAGAAAAGGATTCAAACAAATGTAAACATTTTAATTGAAATTAAAATCATAACTACAGTACACAGCAATACAGTTGTATTGACAAAAAGACAGTTCTCATTATTGCAGTTGGTAATCCTGCGCACTATGAAAAGATTATGGACAGGCAAATAAAGAAACGTGAATAAAACGAAGAGTCGTACTTGTTGGTGCAGACTGCCGAGACCTTGCGGACATGTGCGTTGACCAGGAGCCTCCGTAGGAAGTATAAACGTGAATTCCTCCAGCGTTCAGGCGGCATGATGTGCATGGCCAGGATGGTGAAATAGTGCGGGCCCTCAACATCGTAGGAGCTCTCCACCCACTTCTCGCACGGCTGCTCCTGGAAACTCTGCAGGTTCTTGTCCTCCCGGGATGTAGCCCTTGTACTGCAGGGATAGAGTGAGATGACAAAGGAGATAAGTGAAACATATAAACTACAAATATAGGCTGACTTTAGTTTGTGTGTCCAGCAGTTGGGCGTTGGGACAGAGGAGTCAGAAACATACGTGTTGAGGACGTAGAGCACCGTGTGGATGATGTAGGGGATGAGGTGGATGTTGCTCTCTCGTCCTCCTCCTCCCGTGTCCACGCTGAACGACTGTTCGGTAGCAAAGCGGTGGAACAGCAATTTGGTGTCGTGGATGTTCAGTTGGTAGGTTGGCTCCCGCTGGCCCGTGCACTCCTGCAGATATGTGTTGTGTCTGTGCAACAGAGAGAAACAAGTCAGAATGGGTTTCTCTGTGCAACACATGCAACGTTTTACTGTGTGTGCGCTGATGCATGACCTTACCTGGCTAAGCATGTAGCGAAGGCTGACTCTGGCACATGTGGCCCCCACACAGGAAGCAGCCCATTGCACTTGGTGTTGGCGTTCTGGAGGGCAGCACTCTCCCACTCCTCTCGCCCACGAGCCAGCCTGCCCCAGAGGAAAAGAATAATAAAAACATCAAATTAGAATGAAAGAAAAGGGAGGTTGCCCCATAACATTTAAAAAGGGCATTTAACCCTTTGGCAGGTTCATAACGGTGTCTGTTGCTACCTGACAGCTGCCAGATGGCAGTCATAGTGGACTATGTTAAAGTGCGACACAGTGCTGTAGCCCTGCTGCTTCCGAGGCTTGTTTTCAAAGTCCTCCAAGGCCACACGCTTTGTGAAAGTGTAAATGCCCAGGACTTTGGTTGGCTGGGAAAAAAGAGACAAAGAGAGAAACATTAATATAAAACACTACAAGGTGAGTCAGTGTACAGGAAGTCCTACGTAGTGCAGACACAAATCAGTCTCCTGATGCTAGACGTATACCTGGAACTTGTAACCCTCTCTGCAGATGCAGCAGGTCAGGCCCGGCTCCTCGATCAGCTCCTCCATCTGCTTCAGCAGCGAGGTCTTAGTCACCACCTGACCCTTCTCATTGGTCTGAAAGGCAAATCAACCACACCATTTAGTGACAAAGGTAGAGATAACAAAAAACCGCTTTTAAATAAAGTGGAGAATAAATGTATTAGAGAAAAATAGGGGGAAATGAGTGAAAAAAGGAAACAAGTACCGTCATTCCCAGGGTTCCCAGGGCCTTCTGTCTCATGGCCATAGCCATGCGCTTCTTTTCAGATCGGGTCTCCCTGCGGGCTGCATCAATCTTCAGGTTGACATCGCTGTGCTCCCTCAGGGCCTCCAGAAGGTTCTCTGCCAGCGTGCCAATGCCTTCGTCACTGGAAACCTGCTCCAGCTTGTGCAAGTTGGTTATTGAATCTGTGCCTATCAGCGCCTGAACAGAAGATAAGAAGACATTCAGTCAAATAGTCCCAAAATGTGTTGTATAGAGCCGGGTCAAATGGGTTGATCTTGTAGTAACTCCACCATACACAGGAACATCAACAGTAGTTAGTACCTGTGTGGGGGGGTGCTGGGTAGCCAAACCCCGGAGCAATCTGAGAATGAAGGGTAGAGCTGGTCTGGAGAGGAACTTCTTCCAGACATCTGCATCCAGACTGAAGAGAGTGCAGGGCAAGACAAACAAGAACAGATCTATCATTTCATCAAAGGCATTGATGGACTCTAAGTTAAGCTAAAGGTGAGGTGAAGGTGAGGAGACCTACTTTTTGGCATTGGGGATATGTTTCTTCATGTAGTCCAGTGCACTCTGTGTGATTCCCTTCTGGAGGATAAGATCTTTCAGCTGATGGCCGTTGCTGTTATTCTTGATCCCAGCAGCGATTTTGCAGAAGCAGTCCAAAAACACCTTGTCATCTGCACTATGCTCCTCGTCGTACCTTAGGATATAAAAGCCAGGGGTCAGTACTACTTCATCACAAGAGACGCTTTCACACTTTTCCAGTACTTTCCCTTTTAGTTCTGATAGTTACTGGGATTTTGCGTTCACACCAAAAAGAGAACTTAGTTCAAGCAATCTTTTTGAAAAAGTTCCCATTTCTGATTGGCTGGGCGGATTGCAAAACCACGCCCCGTAAAACTCGGAAAAGTTTTTTGAAGCCGCCATTGTATTTGCTAGCATTAGCATTATTAGCATTAGCCCAGCGCACAAATGCAGAGAGACTAACTTATGGCAACACAAAATAAAACATGGGAGCGGTGGAGATGAGGAGGTGTCGGCGTTCTGGCGATTTACTCGGAAGGCTTCAGTAGAAGCCAGTCCCCAACTCCGGGGACTTCCGGTGGCAGTTTACACCGTGAAGTTGTTTGCGGCCTGCCAGTAAACCCAAAGCAGAAGAAGAAGAAGTGCCGTCAGCGGCTCATTTGCGTAATCCTCTCTCAGGGACTTATTCCGGTGTGAACGCGATCGGCTCTTATGGCGCATTTCCACTGCAGCTGTTAGACCCGTTTACGCGTCTTCAAGTGGCCTTTCCATAAAGCGTAGCACCGGCTAGCGGGTACTTTTTCCGGCCCCATAAAATCGTGGTTCTATCAGGCCAGGGCCAGGGCTGAACTAGTGACGTCCACACTCTCGACTGCCGATTGGTCAGAGAGAATCGTCACAAGATCGCGCGCGAGATCATCCCTAGCGTCGCATATATATCTAGAAGCAAGCTTGCAGCATTTTTATACACAGCATTTTTGTAAACGGAGGAGCTACAAAAATGGCAACGTCAAAGAAAAGCACACCGTGGTCGACCGAGGAGGTGACGACGTTCCTAAATCTCATTGGGGATGATAAAATCCAGCGGGAGCTGATCGCCCCGCCTACACTGCGTTGCTGCCCCAGGTCCTAAACTGTAATTGAAATGTGCCACGGCCTCGGACGGCCAGTGAGGCAGCCCGAGGCCTGAGCGAGGACGCTTGGGGACGCTTAAATGGGGCTACCCCAGTGGAAATGTGCCATTAGTTCCATGGGGGAACTAAGTGCTGGGAACTAAGTGCTTGGAACTAAGTACTAAGTGTGTAATACCCAAACACTCATTAGAAAAGGTTCTCAGAGTAGCACAACATCTGTCTGAAATCAGCCGGGTTTGATATGTAACACATTTTTGTAACAAGTGTTTTTTCTATCCATTAAGACCTAAACATTATCCATTATTAAAATTGAGATAAAGTGAAGTGGTGCCCACTTGTCAAAGCTGCAACACGGTTTGAAGCGCTCCACCAGGATCCTCATCTTCTCCAGCTCCCCGAAGGACAGGTATGGGATGATGCGCAGCAGACCCTGCAGCACGCTGGGGTTTGAGCGCACGAACAGGGTGTTGATCTGATCCAACAACATGACCAGCTGATCCGTGTCTCCTGTCAGCAGGAGGTTACCCTGCAGAAGAGCAAATACTTCCCGTTAGAAGGACAAGCATACATTTGTACAGGCTTTGATATATTGATGGCCTCAAATGTTGACTCCAAAGATGAATCTGCTGTAGAGTCTTACCTTGTCCTCTGAAATCTCAGCATTGGCTTCGTCCAGAATGATTTCCATGATGCTCAGAACTTGCTCTGCTATGGAGGCTCCACCACTGTCCTTACTCTCCTGTTCTGCCACTAAAGCCTGATAGGATAAAGGACATTCAAGGTTCAAGGTTCTTTATTGTCAAACTAACATAGCTACAGAGTAATTATGTCGTTGAAAATCTTAGGTCACAGGCTTCTCCAACAATGCAACACAATATTACAGATAAGCAGACAATATTAAAGCATATTATATTAAAAGTAATACAAAAGAAAAATAGTTCTAAAAAAAGAGAGAAAAAAAGTGGAATAGTGCAATACGAGTCTATATACAAGTTATTGGAATGATATATTAGATAATAGATAAATAATTACTAAGTAGCAGATGAATGTTGTGAAATGTCAAACTTAAAGTTTCTTAAACCCTGAAACTGATAAACTGCATTATAAAAGCCTGGTTAACATTGCACAATGTGTATGTAATGGATGAAACAAGCAACACAATGTTACACAGTCAGTGAACACTCACCAGGTTCAGAGTTCCCAGCATGACGTTGAGTGTGTTCATCTCTGGTTTGACCAGCTGCTGCCTGTTGATCTTCACCTTCCCACAGTAACTGAACAACTTCAGCAAAACCTGTGGAGGAAACACATGTTGTCACAAAGCTGCTGCACTGTTGGTATTTATGAAAAGTGCACGAGGGATGAGGCATCTCATCAAACTCTAATTATTTTTCATGTACATTTCCCAAAGAGTTTCAGTATNCGAAAACGTTCGTTTGTCACAAAATAAATTACACTTGTTTGACTTAGATTTGAGGGCATGGGCTTGAGCATGATGTAATTATGTTATCTATCACATTCGCTAACCTGACTTTAAATTCTTTAAACAGCTCTGGATGCCGGTCGGCGGGTGCTTAGCCAAGTTTGATGTGTTGGCTCCATTGGTTTGCAGGGATCTAAAACATGTCTTACAGACAGGCCTCGTGGTGTCCGTAGGCTTGCCCTCACTGTCAGAGATATAGCTCAAATACTTCCAAATTTCGCTTCTGGCGTCTTTTTTGTCAACAAGCCGAGGCGCAGCGGCAGTTGCACTCCCACTTGCAGCCATGCTTCTCGTTTAGTTTTCCCACACGCTCTGGCAGCTAGCGCGTGGCCGCATGCACGAGAGAGGGGGGGGACTTAGAGCGTGCTTGAAAGGGGCGGGACTGCAGGCACGACTGCAGTGCAGGGAGTGGGAGCAGAGCGCTGAACACACACGGCTCTTATTAAAGCGGCGCTTTCTCACCGGAGTACTTTTCCCCGTCATTCTTAAAGTACTGATAATAATGAAACGGAGGAATCGTAACGTTTTTAACGGCAGGGTATCGCGGTACCTTTCAAGTATCGGTACACCGTGCAACACTAGTATGGAGTACTTGTGATGGCAAAGAGCATGTTCCTGTGGCTAATGGCTTACTCATAGGCTAACAGCATTAATACATGTGATATTTAGACTATTATACAGTGTAAATCTAACCTGTGGTCGAGTCCAGTGACTCTATGAACTCCTCAGTGGCATCTCCCAGCAGACCTCTCATTCGATAGATGATCCTCATTGGCTCACCCTGGGGGGGAGTAGGAATTGCATTATTACATTACTATCCAGAGTACTGCAAGCCTTTAATGACAATGTGCAAAATAATCCTAAAAATGACCAATTATTTACCTCATTTGTAGGGCACCAGACCTTCTTGTAGACTTCTGCAACTGACAGATCCAAGCTAATGATTTTGTTGTTTACCAGAAGCTGTGGGGAGAGGAAACAACAGGTCAGCTTTTAGAATTCAGTAACAAATAGTTAAGAGTTTGATAAAACGCTCATATTAAAACAAGGAAGACTGTTTTTTAGAGCAGCCTAAAATAAACATTTTACCTCCATGCCACTGTCGTCTTCAAGAAGCGCCACCAGGTCGCAGTCCTGGCAGATTTTGTTCTTGATGTCCCTCATCAGGGGGCCGATGCCAGGCTCGTTGCTGCTGTAGGGGTTTCCTGGCATGCGGCCCTGCAGGAAGTCCTCCTGCTGAGGATCTTTTTCCAGGGTCACAAAGAACTCGGTCACCTCATTCTCCTCCTAAACACAAAGGAACAAACAAAAGCTTGAGACAAAGATACAGCAACACTGAACCATAAAACATTTTCTTACATTCTTTCTTTCTGTATGAAATGTGCATTCAAAATGCAACATAGTAGACTAGAGTTAACTTACAGGATAGATGATGCTGCACAGTCGCTCAAAAATGAAGACAGGCGTCCTGTAGTCATCCAGGTTGTACCGCTTTGCAGTCTCTATGCACACTGCCATGAATGCCTTTGTTTCAGACTCAGTACCTAGGAACACACAGCAAGATGCATTATGTTTTTAAAACGTACATCATATGAAACTAATCAATCGTTAAAAAACGGATTTATAATTCATGCTTTACCTTAGCAGCAATTAAATACTTGGATTGGATTTATTTAATCTTTTATGTTAGAATCAAAACAAATAATCACTAAAAGCAGCAACCATGCAGCAGAACCCAAACGATGGTTAAAGAAATAGGTGTGTTGAACTGGAGTCAGTGCAGACCTGTTGTCATGTCCTCCAGCATCTCCAGAAGCATGTCCTGAGTCTCGTCGATGAGCTTCGTGCGCTGCACCACCAGTTTCCTCAGACACAGGTAGCCGTTCAACACCGTGCCGACCAGCCGGCTTTTGAAATGCCGCTTGATGGACTCCACTTCCACGAAAGAAGAGAGCAACCCTGCAGCGGCACCAAACACATACAAATCATTTAACTATTCAAAAAAGGTCATCAAAACATTCAAGAAACTCCGGCTCAAATAAAAAAAATATCTAAATGGTCATCTAAACCACAAAATGCATAGTCATGTCAAATTGAACATACCAGTCAAGCTCTTGAGGGCGTAGCCTTGCTGCAGGTCTGTGCTCAGTGTGGCCTCCTCCAGAGCCAGCAGGTTGGCGATTTCCTGCAAACAGAATAAATACAGTTATAAGGTCCAGTGTTCTTTGCTAGATTTTCTGAATATAGGGGTAACTCTAGCAACAGAATGAATGTTATGTTCTTAAAATGAAAGATCTTATTTTTAATACATTTCCTTGCAACAAAACAATGAAACTGATGGAAGCCAGTGGCACTTATGCAAAACGCTGAGTTTATCATCGCTTAAAATGATTTTGTCTTGAACTTTCAGGCCATTACCTTGGTGATCAGGTTACCGATGTAGGGCAGGACCCCGCGGGCTGCCAGGTAAACCTTCCAGTGTGTCGGCTTGATCAGCTTCTGGTACAGACCCAGGTACTCCACTGCACACTCTCCAGCTACACTCAGCTCATCCAGGTAACTGAGACAAACACACAAAGAGTCACTTTACAGTCAGGGCAAAAGTTGAGTCAAAACGTTCACGCTCTAAACCATTTTCATGCTGAAAGCTTTTCATAAGGCTCAGAAGCAAGTTCAATAGCAAAGCAATTTCTGTAAAATGTTTCCATCACAATCATAATGAATAGAAAGACTTTCAATGAAAAGGAAATCTTAAGAGTAATCGAATAACAGTTAATGCATTTTCTGGATTTTGCATATTGAGATGTTTGTTTTACTAGCTGTTGTTTTGTTGGAGGCTCCTACCTGGTGAGAAGGTCCAGCACCTGCTGCTTGCGGCTGGGGATCGTGGTTAAGGCCTCCACAATGGTGCAGGCTGCCTGTCTGGCTGCCTGAGTGGCAGGTGTGAAAAGGACCTGCAACAAAAAAAACTTGAGTAAAACAATTGTATTTGAACAAGATGTTTTAACATGTTTGTAAAATATGAAGATATATATATTTGTTCAATTTTAAAAACAGATTTCTGGCTCATTTGATTCCTGAAGAAAATATATACACGTGCAGTTTTGACACGAATAAGAACAAGCAGAACTCTAGTATTTCTTGAAACAGGACTGTAAAACTTTGGTTTGTATTACCTGTCGCAGCCAGTTGTTGTGGCTCAGTTTGAGCAGGCGAGGGAAGAGGCCTTCACCTTTTTTGGACCTCATGAACTGCTTCCACTTCCAAACATACTTCTCCAACAGGTACTGCCTGCGCAGCTCAGTCTTCCCCTGAGGCTTCGACACATTTTCCTGGCCTGTGTTATCAAGTCAAATCAACAGTAATCAGCTTATCATCGTTACGTTTGATTTATTACGGAAAAACTATAAGAGAACCATCCTTTTACACTGCTATATTTGTTCAGACATGGCACTTACATCTTGCTGGGAGACACTTCTTCCAGGCTTCATAAGATGCTTTGGGGTCCTTCTTGAGCCAGAGCTGGGCCTGGGCGTGGATTTCATTACTGTAGGGCCTGACCGTGGTTAGAGACTCAATAGCAGCATCCTATAACCAAAAGCAAACATAGTGTTGTGTAAGGCAGTGGTTCCCAACCTTTTTTCCCAAGAATCCCCCCCAAATGACTGCTGTTGGAAGTTGCGACCCCCCCCCCCCCCAACACAAGGGAACAGGGGGGGGAAGTTTCAAAGTCTCAAAATGCTACAACTGTCACAAACTGGATGAATGTGAAGTATTTTGTTAAAGGAGGATGAAAGCGTAATTAAGGAGCACTATTGGAGTGACTGATGGTTATTGGACTCAGGATTCATTCATTTGGATTCCCGCTGTATGAAGAAATGAAAGGACAGCGCAAGTGGAAACAATTCCCCCAGGTTGGGAACCACTGGTGTAAGGAAACACTCACTTACACCACATACAAACTTTTAACATTTTTTAGACTGCTGTAGTTAAAAAATAAAGAAATTATATATTTACAATAATAGACTGGTATTTCCATGTTTTAAATCACTAACTGGTCCAAAGTCCTTCAAGCTAGCACTGCAGAGGTATGAGTGAGCAGTAGCTGAATGGCACATGTACCTTGTTCTTCTTGCTAGTGGCAGCCGGGGGCTTGATCAGCTTCTGCAGGATTCTCAGGCACATGAGAGTGATGTTCTCCACCACTACAGGCGTCTTTATATTCACCGACATCAAGAACAGACTGAGGGCTACAAGGAGAACAAAACCACAATGTTGTTAGACAAAGACCGCAAAGGCAACCAGACAAAATAACCCTGATAACAGAATTCAGATTTATGATAGCTAAGTGAAAAGAAAAGGCTTACCACAACGTAACCGTAGCTCCCAGCATCCTCCCTCTTTAGAAATAGAGTCTGTGAGCAGCAGCATTTCATACTGCAGATTACTAACCTGTTGGAAACAAAAAATGATATCATTAGTAAAACGTTACCAAAAGAAATTATTTTAATTAATTAAATGTAACTCCAAGGGAGACATACCAGGTCAGGATTGGCCCAGTGGCCTTTGAGAGCAGCGGACACCTTGGCGATAATGAGGTCATTCATCTGTTGGGTGGCCTCTGGATGATCTCTAAAGCAGGACAATATAGAAGAGTGATGTTGAATCATCACTGCAATACACTGTTTACATACAAACGCAGTGCAGACAAAGCTACTTTCAAACCAAGAGTGAATCTGCGGTGTTCTTCCACACGCTGATGGGTACCATAACCATCACCCAATCTTGAGTACCACGTTCAGCTACTAGTTAAAAGTTATGCAAATGTATCAACTTGTATTCAACCCTAATAAACCAATAGGTGAGGAAGGGACATACCTGGTGAGGAGACAGACCAACTGCCGCACCTCCTCCCTCATGGCAGCTGTACCTCGCCGCAGGTTATACTCAAACAGTTCACGGATGAGACCCTGGAGGACCAGGATCTGCCGGAGGGCCGGGTTGGTGGCCAGAGCACGAAGCAGTGTGATACAGTGACCCGTGACAGCTGAGGCACAGCCATAGCACTTGTTTGAAGAGGTGTGGCCGCAGCCCAGCACGGAGTTGGCCCGGTACTGACTGGCGGTGATGGTGGGCTGGTGGCTGCTGCTGCTGCGGGACGACTTGGTGGCAGCTTCTCTCTGCTGCAGATCATACTCCAGGAGCTCTTTACGAGAGGCAAGCACTTTCTGTAAACAGAGACAGAGGCAAGAGCTGTAGGTGAAGAGGGAAAAAACTGTTCCTTGGTAAATAAATAGGAAACCGTTTTTCCTCTCTATCTTACCTGTATAATCTTGGAGAGTTCATCAAATGATGTCTTGCAGTCTCCGCTGTACTCTTGAGCCAGCTGCTGAATGTATCTGTTCACATTAGCAGAGGACGTACCAAGTCCTGCACCGGCTCCACTGTCGTCCTGAGGGCAATGCAGGGGAAGAAATACCTCCTCAGATAAAGCTTTGGAAAGTCTACAAAAACACTGTTTCTACTATAGTGACCTAAAGTCATATCTTTCGCAGTTCTCTGAAACAGATTTAGAGAAAGGCAATGAAATACTGATGTTCTAATGGAACCGAAGGCTTTCAAAGATTCATATCTCCTGAATTGTATTTGGGAAAGTCTAATCTCAACAATAACCAAAGACAAAGGGGTTTTCTTTTTTTTATTCAAAGATCTAATTATCATCAAACATCGGACTGGTATTGGACTAAATGAGTTCTGTTCAGGCCCCTCTTGTGACTTACCTGTGGTTTTTCTGGTGCCGCCTCGTTGACTTTAGAAAGGAGGCTCTCCAACTGGGGCCGGTGGCCCATCAGCTGGTGGTAGACCCGGTCAGCTTTGTCCAGCAGGGTGTTGATGTTGGTCACAGCCTGTAGGAAAAGGACACATTAAAGATGACATGAGGCAGAGTGAAGAAGTGATGCAGATCTGCTTTCCTCAGCAAACTAAGAGGAGAGTGTATATTTGACCAAACAAGATGATTTGATAGAATGGCAACCCTTTTGTTGAGTCCTTTCCATTTCACACGAGTATGCTTACCTTTTTCCTGTCTTCCTCATTCTCAATGGGATCCACAGCACAGCATGGTCTAGCATATAGCATGAAGTCAAATCTGGCATATTTGCAAAAGCCACAGGCATTGCACAGGAAGGGGTCTTTTTCATCGTAGTTGATAGACCTTAAAGACAAAAAACACCAATTAAAAATACAAATCATCTTCAATATTTCCAATAATTTCAGACTTTCCCAAATCCTTTCAGACACGCGGAGGACCCCTGCTGCTCACCTGCACTTGTGGCACTGATACACGTTCTCACCGCAGTTGCCACAGACCCCAGGGTTGGCCGGCACAGAGGCGCTGCAGCGTGGACACTGCAGGGTCTCGGTGGAGGCCTGGTAGTTCTCGTAAAAATCAGAGAACTCGATCATCAGGTTGGATGCGACGATGGGTAAAGGAAGGTCGATCTTCACCTCGGTTTGTCCTGGGGTCAGCTGGACTTTCTTGGCTTTGTGCCAACGAGCAGGTCTACAAACAGACAGTGAAGTTAAGAGACCTTACTTCATACAGGCAAATGAATCAAAGTGAAACTGTGACCAATATGTACTCTTTGTATTTTAGAACTTCACTTTTAAATAACTGTTATGAACATGAGTGAAAAATAAATGAGGGGAAGAAGAAAGGCCGGGAGATCTTTTTTGAAACGTACTTGTTTTTCAGCTCCACGATAGCCTGGACCGTTCTGTTGTTGTAGTAGAGGTTGATGGTGCGGACCATCTTGGTGCGTTTCAGGTCACCAATCTTCACGGTGACTTTGCTGATGGTGTGGCTGCCAATGAGCTTGACAACCTGCTGTGTGGTGGTGTAGCGGGTGTCCACTTTGATCGATGACAGCTTTATATTCTGGAGGAAACACAGAATAAACAAGGGAATGTTTAAAACAATAATAGACTGTTTAGGTTTAAATTAACTTTAGAGCGCGCACACTTTTAACTGTGTAGAAGCAAGCACTTGGATAATATTTGCTAAACTAGTTTATGCTAGAGATTGTGTCCATTGAGTGAAGTTGTGTTGCACATACTGAGAATGGAACTTCTGGATTGTTGCACACCAAGCAGGGGTCGCTCTCCAGAAAGAATCCATCAAACTCCACTAAACCGGACAGAGTGCTGCAGGAGAAAAGCATCAAGTCAATACGTTTGTTTGTGTGTGATGTCCACTACTTGAACTTTATTTTCCTTGCAACAAGATAGCATGTTCATGAAGACATACGTGTAGATGTTGGAGTTAGGGTGATTCGTCAGGATATGGTTCTGTGCCCTCAGGATTTCCACAGCTTTTTGGGAATACTCTTTCAGCTGGGGAAGAACATATATATATATATTTTATAAACTTTGAAGCTTTATTATTGCCAAAGCCTTTTTTTTGCCAAATGTCAAAAAGGTTTACACAGATAGGATAAGAAGTGTTAAGCAATATATCATGGATACAGTCTGCAAACTATTTATTGCACAAGTAGAAAACAATTATTGTGAACAATGGGTAAAGACCAGACCGCGATACAAGGCTCACGAATAACTCATTTTATACTATCTGTACAAAAAACGAGTGGGAGGCCTTCTGACAAACCTTCTTCTCCGTCTGTGGGGTTTTCAGAGAGAAGTATCCAAGCAGGTCAACAAACTGAGCAGCTTTGCGGCCATATGCAGGCAGCTCAGGCCAGATGGCCCAGGTCAGTTCGAGCAGCAGGTCCTGCTGAGATTTGCTGGAGTTCCTATAGAAACATATCAAGGATGTTATGTCACCATTTACAAATGATTTAAGCTTACATCTTTCGATAGTATGTTCATGGGAACTAATGCTTAATTACAATAGTCTAGAAACAGGTCGAGACAGTCTAAATGTAAAAGAAAGCAAATAAAGAGGCTGTCTTGTGTAAACTAGGTTTGCTTAAGCTTGGGACTACACCTAGCTGTTAGTCTACGCCTCAATCATTTAGATGTAAAGTACCTGTAGATATGAAGAGCCAGGCAGTGAGCTTGCCAGCGCACAGCAGAGGAGTTTGACTCCAGCAGGAAGCAGCGCAAGAACTGGATCAGTGTCTCCTTGTCTGCAAACTTGTTGAGCTGACTGACCAGAGCCATGCACAGCTGATCCTCCTGGCTGCCAACCCCCTCACCTGTGGACAGTCCAAAAGAGAACAGTCAAGAAAAAGACAGAACCGTTGGGGGGGTTGAGCATAATGCACCTGGAAGGAAATATGAAGAAGTCTCTGAACGTGTCTTACCCTCTTTGTCTTTCTCCTTGTCCTCTTTTTTGCTCTTTTTACTGGAGGACTTGCTTTGAGAGGACTGAGAAGTTCCTGCCTGTCCAGCACTACTGGAGCCTCCTCCTGAGAATGATGAAGATGAGGAGGAGGAGGAACTGGCCAGCACCTTACTGCCACACAGGGCACAGGAGAGCAGTTGCAAAAGAACAGGGGACACGCCCTCATCCACTAGGAAGCTGACTTGAAGCAGGAAGTACAACACAGCTGGACAGAAAAGAAAAACAACCCATTAAAAACACTGCCCTTAAAAGTTGTTAATAGTCACAAAAGCTGATCTGAAAACACCTACAGTCGTCCTTCATGCAGAACTTCTGCCAGTTGATCGTCCTCTGAGTGGCAATTTCAGCACAAGCTTTCAGATGTTCCATCTGCACCAAGAAAAGAGAGTTCAACTTAAACACAGAAAGCTACACACATTTCTAACCCTAAAGGAGCTGACCGCAGCATCACAGACTCAAACAGAACAAATGTAATATGAATTATACAAAGAGGCTCTTTTTGAGGTATCTTAATAAAAATGTGTGATTCACTTACCAGATTGATGAGTGTGTCGTACTGCAGAGCTGAGCCAGAAGTGGCTGTGACCACACCAGCACGGAGGAAGATGCCCTGCTCCTCCAGGAGCTTCTTGATGCTGCGCACATGGGAGTCAAGAGTGTGCAGATCCCTCAGCTGGCGGTATTTTTCCTTTGAGCCGCAGATAAACAACAGCAGCTTTCTGACTTGCCTCCTGACGAATGGTGTCTGTTGAATCATCAGATACTGAAAGGGAAAAGGGAGACGGGGTTAGAGGCTGTATCTGTGTCTTAAGTGAAGACAGAGGTTGAAAAGGAAAAGCACACAAGTCATTTTCACTCAATGTCTTACTTCCGACAGATAGTAAAACCAGGAATTGTCAAAGACAGGAGGTGGGATGCGTGGGTTGGTGTCAGCTATCTTCTTGATCTGATATGGCAGCCGGAGCACCATTTCAGTCAATAGCTGGGAGTAAGCTTCAAACACATCAGCCGCATGTCCCTAATGGGAGGAGCAACATAACAAGTTTAAATGAACATTCCTTGTACAAAACCCACAACTTGTTCAAATGTAACGATCTGTTACCTTGACGTATTGGCGCAGGAAGAAAGGGCTCATGTCGGGGGGAGAGGAGGCTGTGTGTGGGCGGAGGAGCTGGCTGGTTGTCGCAGGCTCTTCTTCGCCCTGTTGGCTCTTCCAGTAGTCCAGGAGTGATTTGAGCACATGGAGACAGTAGTCAATGGACCCAAGGCTGAGCAAGGCCGTCGCTGTGGCGTTCGAAATAAGCGAGGATGACTGGAAGAGAGAAAGAGGAGGCATCCATTATGAAGTACAATGTACAAACAACATGGTTTGAGTTTTGAAGAGACAGGGGTAAAAAAGGCTCCAAAGAAAAGAAGACATTTAGTAACATAGAAAAGGATGCTCGAGTCACGCAAATACCTTCTATGGATACTTCCATTTACTTTGAACAAACCATGATGTCTTACTTGTGTTTTTTAACTAAATAAAATGGTGCCTCCAACATTCTTTAAATGTACATGTTGTTAATATTATTATATTCTAAGAGAAATGTAACGGGTGGCTTTGAGGGAAATCCAAACTGTATTAAGAAAGTAAAGAGGATGTACCTCAGAAGAGGATTTGGAGACAGACTTGGTGCGAGACATGAAGACGCTGAGCAGCCTCATGATGACCAGGTGAACTTCATTGATGGAACTGCGCTCATTCTTCTTGGAAACGTCCTGCAGAGGAATAATATGGATTAAGTAAAACAACGACGACATGGAAAACAGGATTCATCACAAGGAGACTTACCTTCTTGTGCATGGAGAGCTCAGCAATGAGCTGTGCTAGCAGCTCATCCAAGGCGCCCTTATCCTTTTCATCCTCACCATCCAGGTCAGAGGTCAACATGAGGATGACCTGCATGTAAGGGATGGCTTGGACTCCGCCTACGTTGTGGAGCTGAGAAAGATGCTGAAGCAAGCGCTCCAGTAGCATAAGACGAACCATGTGGAGCCTGACAAGAAACACAAAATAAAACAGTAAAACATTTGTTTCCTTTACAACTGAGGAGACTATTTTAAACTTAATGTGTTATTTTTTTAATGACAATCTATTCCACCCTAAAAGCCAATATATTCCCAAATCTATTTTCTTCTGCGGTCATGGTATTGGCTTTGGATAGTAGAGAGATACGGTGTCAATTTGAGACGTCCTTTTTAATGATAAATTGTGCTAAGCTATCAGGATGTCTGACCTGTTGCTTGTGTGGATGTCTCCTTCCGTCTCTCCTTCTCCCTCTGAGCCTTCGCCCTCCTGCTGGGCTGTGGTGGTGCTGATGGCTCCGGTGCTGGAGCTCACACTGCCTGGACCGGCAGGGTGGCCCTCTACTGTTGTGTCCCCGTATGCACTACTGCGTCCTGACACTGTGTACACAGACACACACACACACTTTAGTTTCAAGTTATCAAAACATCAAATTGAGGTGTGAGGGAAGGAAATGTTGGACACTGTACCATGTATGATCATCTAAAATAGTGTATTCAGAATGTTGATAGAGGTTGGAGTTTAACCAGATGAATGTCATTATAATTGACCTCTTTAAACTAAAGTAAAACATGTCAAATCTTGTCAAATGTAAAAATCGTATACAGACTGATATCCTTTTGGTTTATAGATACTTTATGTTCTGATTTCAGACATGCATGTATACCATTTTGAATATCAGGCTGGCATTGAAAATATGCGTGTCTGTTGTGCCATCACCCACCGCTGTGCTCCCCCGCCACCGAGTCAATTGCAGAGCCTCCGCTCTCTGAGCCCACGCTGCCGCCATGCTCTGCCGGAGACGTCCTCAGTGTGGAGCCATCAGTGGCCGCAGTGCTCCCCTCATCATCAGATGCCGGGGCTGAAATCAAAGCAATGGCTGCAACAGTAAACACACCGCAGTAATCTGGCCAGGATACATGATATCAGTTTATAGATGTGCAACAATGTAATAAAGCACGCAGTACATTGAAAGTGCCATTCATGCGTCTTTTTCCAGTTGAACATCATTTGGGCATTATCCTATTAATAGTGACTATTTAAATACTCAATCAAGACATCACAATGTGCCAAATATTTGGTAATGTGCTTGATTTTGGAATATCATATGTGGTCATTTTGGCAACTTGAATTAAAATGCTAGCTAAGAGAAATTGGTTTAATGTCTGATGTTAAGGATTTATTAGCCACTGTGACCTGGCAGATATAAATAGAAAGCTTGGTGTTGATCACATATGATCATATAGCTGTTTTTTTTACCTGATGCGGTGGTGTCTGAAAGGGTGCCAGCATCCAGTGAAGAGGAGCTTGGGGCCTGGCCAGACAAGCCAAGGCTCTGAAGGCCAAGGGCACTACTGCTACTGCCTAAAAACGTGAAGAAATATGTTAGAAGCACTCACCAAAAAGTGATGCTTCAGCTAATAAATAGTTGGTCTACCATTTGAGCTAGACAATGGCTCAAACTAGGTTAATTAGGCTATAACTGGTTGAAGTATAAGGGTGAGATATTACACTTTGCCAAGCAGAAATCAGCTATAGGAGAATCAAAATGATGACTTTTTACCTAAAAATGTGTTCATTGTGTTGGTAGTTTTATCTCCAACAACTGCTATCCACAGCTCAGTGTTTCCCTGTTTTCATAAGGCCTTAATGATTTCTAGCTTCTGGACAGTTGAGTTCTGTCTGTCTCCAATATGGGATTTTAAATGGGACTCCCAGGCGGGTTCAGTAAATAATTGATGTTTGATTGTGTGGCAGCTAACCTTGTTGTTCCTGCTGAAGGCTGAGAGCGATGGCCAGCTCTACCATAGTTTCATCGTCTGCATCAGGAGGAATGTCCAGCATGGGCGGGAAACCCTCGGCTCCAGCCAGCAGAGCTTCCAGAGGAGATGGATTTCCATTGTTGAGATTATCTGCTGTTTCCAGGACCATGGACTCCGACTGAAGATGTAGAAAAATAATAAGTATGTTAGGGGGCTTGCTTGACATGTGGCTCCAATTAACAATCATGAGTCAAATATAACCCACAGACTCATGTGGCCCCTATTTACTCACTACCATCTCAAAGTCGCCATGATCCACTTCATTCTGCTCCTGACTCTCCCGTCTGCCCTCATCTCCTCCAGTCAGCACGGATGACTGCATTTTGTCATCCGCATCGTCGTCGTCATCATCATCCTTGTCTCCTGAAATAAGGAAATCAACTTTCCTGGATCCACTTGCAAGCATTGGACAACAACAGATAGGGTATATGCATAAAAGCATTACATAAAAAAAGGCTGTGAAAACGTACCCATAGGTGTGTTGGAGCGTGGGGGCGATGGAAGGGTTACATGTCGCCGCTTGTTTCTCGGTCGAAGCACTCTGATCAGAGCCTGCTTACATGCAAAGCTCACAGATGTGTCCTGAAATTTGATAAAATCCCAAAAAATAAATAAAATTGCGATAAAAAACTGGTGATAAGTAATTTCCTGTTTCCTCAAGATCCTGTGTATGATATCATTGTTTAGCCTTGCATTAACAAATGCAATAATAACAGTAAATGATCCTAAAATGTTTTTTTGTTTGTGCTGGTAAAGGATATATCATGATTCATACTCAATGTTCCTTGAATGAAACATTTCTTATAATTCCTGCTATGAAATTAAGAGCTATACTTACTGGGCACAGAAGCATTTGCATGTAGATTTTTGATGCAACGTTTATGTAATCCAGTTCACATGTGCAGTATGCATGGATGATGTCCACCAAGGCATTTACTGTTGCTTCCACGTGAGTCAGGCCTTAGAAAGAGAGAGAAGAAAAGGTTCACATACTGAGAAACTTATTTTCTAATACTTTACCAAAAATCTAATTGATACTTATATAAAAAGCAAACATTATGTGCCATGTGTCGAGGTAACATTTAAACGTGAGCTGACTATTCATCTTCACAATCACATCCCTTATTAAGATGATCTTGATATCTTTGTCGGGGTCCCAAAGGTCTGAACTCACCAGGCAGGCAGGCAGGAGCAAGAAAGGCGTTCTTTGGCTTTTGGGAATGGAGCTTCCAGAAGTTATTTATCAGCTGTGTGATGAAATTACTGTTCTCCCCATCCATTGGTTTTTGCCCATCTTCTGTCATTTCTAGGTTTAGAAGAACAGAAAATGAAACTTTTAGGTAATTTAGCTCCAAAGCCACTTAAAGTGTCTAACCAGCAGAGCATTCTCTATCATCTTGAGTGTAATGGTGCAACAAATAGAAACATTTAACACATACATTGGGCTTCAGTGGCCTTGTCACAAACAGATGAACCTCTTACCAGCTTCATGGTGTAAGAGCTTTGTTTCTGTGAAATGCACCAGGTTGTTGGGTCTCATGATTGCAATGGAGCGGGCGGTGATCACCAGCCTCTGGAAGACGTCAGGGTCGAGCTCCCTGCCCTCACGGCTGCAGCCATTCAGACACTGCACTGCGTTACTCAGCAAGGATTGATCCTGATGAGAGGGAGCAGATACGTGTTGCATTTGTGACGATGAGCAAATAGATTCGTAAATAACATAACCATTGGATTAACTATTGACAAATGATGACCTAGCACTGTCTATTATGTATTTTACTGATAGTAGTTTGAACAAAATAAGGATTTGCTCTTTCTTTGGGTCGATCAGATTACTGACACAGATATCAATTAGTTTGCAGGACAGATATTTCCTTATACAAATGGGAAATGATAATGCCATGATTTTGAATTGGTGTACGGGACTGTGTTTATTACCTTGTGGTTGTGGTAGGCAGTTCTGCTGGTGTGCAGGCTGGCAAGAAGTCCCTTAGTTTGCTGCTGCACACCAGCAGGGGTCGGCATGGACAGGAGTAGAGTGGCCAACTCGAGAGCTGCTACCTTATTCTTCTCCTACACAGAGTTACATTCATATGGTCAACAACACTCCCAGGATGTAAAGCTTTTTATTTGAAAGGAAACAAAGACCATTTACCTTTTCACTGGAGGAGCCTACAGCAAAGCAGCTTTCCAAAGCCTCGAGGGAGTTGACCACCAACCTGAAATGAAAAAAAAAGGATCAACACATCTCCTACTGCGATATGGCCTTAAATAAACAATATATCAGCATGTTGCATTCTGCGCTAAATGCTAAAACACTGAATGCAAGAATTTTGACACGAAAAATAAATATTTGTGTAGTTGTACAAGTGAGAAGATGGTGCATGGCATTTTCACAGTCTCAGGCATGCACACACACACACTGGCACACATGCACAAACCATACAAACAAGCAGAGGAAGGGCAGTTACTAACCGGTCCAAGGTCGATAAGGACTCAGTTTCACAACTTTTTATTGTATTTTCGGGAGCAAAAGAAAAAGAACAAAAAACAAAGTGTGAGGATCACAGAAAGAACAAGTGGAATTAAATGATTCATTGAACAAACGAGAAGCATGCAAGAAAATATGACATCACTATAGCCATGCACTAAATGCTCCTAAGAGAACCCAACCCCGTGTTAAGACTACGGAGCTTGACTCATGAAGGATAACCATATGCTAGTGGAAGAAACAGGTACAATCTACTATATCCTTTTTTTATCATAACATTTATTCATCTTAGAATACATTTGGAGTTTTCTAGAAAACAGATTGAGAAGCAGTTTGGAATGTTTTTGCTAATCCAACAAAAATAAATGAATAATGAACTTAATCACATACAAGCTTATATCAGATAACCATCTAATATGATCATAAAGCAATAATACCCAGAGGGAGTGAAACAGATAGACATATTCAAAGTAATATCTAATCGTAAAGATAAAAGGTAGTTTTGATAAAAGTGACTAAAACTAGGGCATTTCAAAGTGGATGGAGAAATGTAAACAGCAACATCTTGTGTTGACTGTGAAAACCTTGAAGTGAAGCTCATACCTCTCCAGCACAGTGCCGCTGGTGGTGGTCGGCGTGGCGATGTCCCCATCAGTGGTGCCGTTGCCCTGGTTCAGGTTGGGACTGCAGACGTTGTTAGCCGAGGCGGAGGAGAAGTCCTCTGGTGCATCCTCCGGCCAGCCGAACTGCTCTTTGGTTTTTCCGTAGATCTTGATTGAATCGAGCATTGTGACTCCGGCTGGGTCAACCGATGCTCCAACTTTCAAAAGAACAGGAAGATTAAGGTACATTAGCAGATGGGTTATAAGAGTCTGCAGCAGTTCACGTGTCAAACAAGGTAGAGGTACAGCTCCGAGATGAATATATATATTTATTTGTATACTCATTATATTGCTTAGAGGTAAGCTATTGCATAAAATGCTTTAGGATAATTATTTTTAACGTTCTGCAAGTTCAGAGAGAAAGGATGTTCCTTTAGGGTAAAAAGCCTTTATCAATGAATATGTATTTCACATAAATGGATATAAACTGATGTGCTGTACCAAGAACAAGTGTGCACTTACTGAATATGGACAGCTTCTTGTCTGCCTGCAGGGCCTCCTCTCTGGTGAAGGGGACATCAAACCAGCGGGCTCTGGTCAGGTTTATCTGCATGGTGCGGCCAAAGACCTCCACATAGGATGGAGCCCTCTCAATGGCCTGAGTGCCCACCTGCACCCGCATGCCCGTCATCACCATCGAACTGTTGTTGTTGACCGCTTCCACAGTGAATCCCCCAGGCTAGACGGAAACATGGCAATATTGTTGGTTAAAGTAATTTGTATAACAGTTAAAACTACCAAAAGTAATCTAAACTAGCATAAAATAGATGCATGCATGGCAGCATTATTTTATTAAATGTGCATACCTTTGTGTTGGCCACATACATGCCAGTGGAGTTGAGCCTGTGTTTGATCTGCTGTCCATTGTAGACCTGCAGCAAGTCATTGCCACCAAACTCCACCTCTGTCAGCTGCTGGTTGTGTTCAAAGAAGTCCACAGGGAAGGTCATCTGACTGGAGGTCCGGGTAGCTGAAAGCAAATCTGTACATTACAATTGTGTAGGAAAAATCCTTGATCTGAGCTTAAAGTTAACGATTTAAATGACAACTGTGGTTAAGCAGTTATTTTAGCATAAAACCAGCCATTGTTCAAGGGTAGTGATCACACTTGTATGCTCAGAGTGTATGTATCATATATTTGCCCTTTCTACTCACTAGTAGCAGCAGCTTTGCGCTTGCGGACCGGCTTCATGATACTGATGCCACAGCTGGGCTGCAGCGAGGGCTGGAGCCAGTAGGAGGTGTTGTCCACATTGGCCATGTAGATTCGCAGGCTTCCGTCCTCACAGAGAAGAATCATGGTCGTACGCTGCTGCTCATTACTGGCAGTGTGGCGGATAGCGACCATATCTTGAATCTGGGGAAGAGAGAACATTTATTTATGTAAACCTGAGAAATGCAACCACTTAAAAATGGTACTGTTAACTTTAATGAATGAATTGTTATGACATAGTATGTATTGCATTTAAAAAGCATTTTTCATAAGAAAAAAAGCTTTTTAAAAATAGGTATTTCAAACTTCAACAGGGACATGAAGCTTTTCTAGCATTTTTCTATAAAAATGGGTGTTCCTTTTCCCACTATACAGGTCGCTGAATAGTACAGTAAGTGGCCCTTACCTTAGCTTTGGCTGGCAGAGTTTTAATCTCTTGGATGAGGAAGGTGTCTGGCTTGATCATGATGACAAGCGGTATGCCTGTAGTCTGCTGCACGCAGCACACCAGTCCCGGGTGGTTCATGACTTCAGACCACTGGCACAGAGCAGGAGAGATCTTACTGCTGCCGCCATTAGAGCTGAAGAAGGCAGGAGGGCAAGATAGAGAGGAGATAAAGTTAGCTCACCAAGGTACTGATAACATATCCCAGACCTAGTGCAGTAACAGGGAGGTTGAGAATGCGTGTTAAGTGTGGAAGAAGGGTTACCCTTTGACGTTGATGGGGAAGAGCCTCTGCACTTCGGAGGTGCTGCGGCTCACTGTGGCAGCAAAGGACTTTCCCTGGCTGTAGCTGAAGAAAAGCATCTGAAGCACGTGCGAGTAATAAGTCGACACGCCACCGCCGGCTACCTGCCCGTTGCTATCCTGGAGTCAGACAGAAAAAAAGTATCTCCTTATTACCTTCATGTTATTTCGAAGAACTTCAAAAACTGATTTGAAAGATTTATGTAAACACGTAGTCAATGGAACATTCCCAAAAGTAAAGCAGTGCACTGATGCGTGAACCCTTTCAACAAACAATCAAACATTGTGTACAATATATTTCAATTGCTCAAGTCAACATCCTGCTAACCTTCAGGTCTTCGTGGTTTATCTCCAACACATTGGTGACGTAGAAAGGGCCATGTTGGGCGCTGCTGGATTCGTCCATGAGCTGGGTGTACATGTAACCCGCTGAAGACATGATGACGATGATGTTCTTCCCCTCTTCATTGAACAGGAAGGTAGCATCGCGGATCTTGGAGCTCGGGAGCAGGAAGTAGTACATGGGACTCAGGGCATCCGCTGATAAGTCATAAATCTGTTTGGCAAGGCAGAGAAATTGAAAGAGACAAATAATATTAAGTGTTTTTAAGAGCAGAATAATCATAGTCACCTGTAAGTGTCATTGTGATTCAATTGAGTATTATCAGACTACCAATTATAGTTGAATAATTTAACTAAAAAAAAAAGGTACAAAAAACATTCTATTTTCTTTAAACCGTACCTTGACAAAGTCTGCGGTGATGATGGCAAGTTCTGTCTGAGAGCCTGGTAACCAAATAGCTTTGATGATGAAGTTGCCAGTCGCCAGTTGTGGGTGCAACACCAGATGGTCGGACACAGAGCCTGTGCTGCTGAATGTGAGTACATGGCAGTCCTTTGGAAAAATGTGAGACAAAGGCAGAACAGTCAAATATAGCAGTATTTCATATTAAAAAGACTTACTTGTTGGCTAAGATTTGCATTGATAATAACAGCTCCTCAGACATGTACTATATTGATACAGATAGATTACTATTATGATCTAGGATAACTTGGTAATGGTCTTCTCTCATACACTTTTTGGTTTTTGCAGGAAAGGAACACAATAGAACAGTGGTAAATAATAAAGAAGCTTGTTTCTGACCTTGAGGCCGCACACAGCGAGGTAATCCTCATTACAAGGGTTTCCTGTGAGACTGAGGACGGTGAATGGGACTGGAGCAGAGGCCAGACGGGTCAGAGTCAGCTTCCTCTTGCTGGAGTCGGCCTGTTTCAGGAGGGTGGACAGCTGCAGGACCGTTATCTGTAAAGAGAGAACATACTTTTAATGGGTAACAAATAAAACAGACTGGTGATAAAAACAGAATTGCACTTGGAAGTGGGTAGTGATAAACGTTCTATTATAAATGTATGTTGCTTTATTTATTAAGATACAGTATTTAGTCAGCCACCAATTGTGCAAGTTCTCCCTCTTAAAAAGATGAGGCCTGTAATTTTCATCCTAGGTATACCTCAACTATGAGAGACAAAATGAGAAACAAGAAACCAGAAAATCACATTGTCTGATTTTTAAAGAATTTATTTGCAAATTATGGTGGAAAATAAGTATTTGGTCACCTACAAACAAACAAGATTTCTGGCTCTCACAGACCTGTAACTTCTTCTTTAAGAGCCTCCTCTGTCCTCCACTTGTTAACTGTATTAATGGCACCTGTTTGAACTCATTATCAGTATAAAAGACACCTGTCCACAACCTCAAACAGTCACACTCCAAACTCCACTATGGCCAAGACCAAAGAGCTGTCAAACGACACCAGAAACAAAATTGTAGACCTGCACCAGGCTGGGAAGACTGAATCTGCAATAGGTAAGCAGCTTGGTGTGAAGAAATCAACTGTGGGAGCAATTATTAGAAAATGGAAGACATACAAGAACACTGATTATCTCCCTCGATCTGGGGCTCCACGCAAGATCTCACCCCGTGGGGTCAAAATGATCACAAGAACGGTGAGCAAAAATCCCAGATCCACACGGGGGGACCTAGTCAATGACCTGCAGAGAGCTGGGACCAAAGTAACAAAGGTTACCATCAGTAACACACTACGCCGCCAGGGACTCAAATCCTGCAGTGCCAGACGTGTCCCCCTGCTTAAGCCAGTACATGTCCAGGCCCGTCTGAAGTTTGCTAGAGAGCATTTAGATGATCCAGAAGAGGATTGGGAGAATGTCATATGGTCAGATGAAACCAAAATAGAACTTTTTGGTAAAAACTCAACTAGACGTGTTTGGAGGAGAAAGACTGCTGAGTTGCATCCAAAGAACACCATACCTACTGTGAAACATGGGGGTGGAAACATCATGCTTTGGGGCTGTTTTTCTGCAAAGGGACCAGGACGACTGATCCGTGTAAAGGAAAGAATGAATGGGGCCATGTATCGTGAGATTTTGAGTGACAACCTCCTTCCATCAGCAAGGGCATTGAAGATGAAACGTGGCTGGGTCTTTCAGCATGACAATGATCCCAAACACACCGCCCGGGCAACGAAGGAGTGGCTTCGTAAGAAGCATTTCAAGGTCCTGGAGTGGCCTAGCCAGTCTCCAGATCTCAACCCCATAGAAAATCTTTTTTTATTTATTATATGCTAAATAATAGGTCAATGTCTACAGTACGTTCACTTGATTAAAAGTATTTTTGAATAATCTTGATCTGCTGTACAAAAACATAAAAACAAAGAATCTGTGGTTTTCAAATCAAGATCTCAATTAAATTGTCCAGTTTTCCTTCATTATTAATATTATTGTAAAATAAAATGTGTTTGGTTTGTGAAGCTTACCTTTCCCTTCTCATGGCTGACTGCCAGGTGCTGGCGGCGTCCGTGGGGTGAAGACAGGACACACATAGCAACACGACGCAGGACGTGTGCACTGATGAGTTGGCGTATTGTTTGTCCCTGGTCACCACTGTAGTTCATCCTCACATTCTCAAAAGCCCCTTCCTGAGAGCCGAGGGTGGGCACCTGAAGAAAGGTGCAGCAATTAAAACAAAAATTCAATAAATGATGTTTCCGATTTACAGGAATAATCGCAAATTAAGGAATTAAGTATTTTTCTTAAACCCCTCCAAACTGTACAGCTTCTTACCATTAACTGGTCAGTCATCTCCACAGCTTTGTCCTGAGTGTGCAGTTCGTTGAGTGCCTGCTGAGCCCGGCTGCTGCTTCCCACTGCTGACGCCTGCTGGAAGTTGGTCTGGATGGCTTCCATGAGAAACATGAGCATCTCTAGTATGACTGCTGCAGTGGATGATCCCATCTGTTGTGGAGAAAGAGCCAACTTCTTGAGCCACAAAATGTGCAGTAAATAAAAAAATGTGTTTAAATATCACTGCTTTTAGGAATGCAATAATGTGCAGTCCTCTTATTTGTATAACAGATAGAGACACTGATACATTTAGAGCGATAAACACATTCTCTCTCACCACTTGTGTCACTAGCTCTTCCTGGCAGCCCTCGATGCTCTTGCACACGCTGCTCTTCTTAGGTCTGTCTTCATCACCAGGTTTGCCGTCACAGATTGTGACCTTGCCTTTGTCGGAGGGTGAGGCGTTCTGTTGGCGGATCGCACTGTCAGGCATCCGTAGGTCACTCTGGAACGCAGAAGACTCTTTGAGGGTGGAGCTCATGCCGCTGCTGGGGCTGCGCTTGACCAGCGCCTGTGGATGATATAACACAAAGTAGAGCAGTGAGAACAGCAACTTTGGTAACATGTGCATGCTTATACAACTTAATATGACAGCTAACATCTTTGTTTAGCTTCCTTACAATTACAATAACCTGCTTTTGTTTTTCACTTTGCTAGCTCCTCCACATTGTGGAGTATATAGTTAGTCAAAAGGATGGCAGAGATATTCTTTTGGTTCAAGACACACTATATCTAAACTGGTAACCAGAAATCATAGATTGACAAGAAAACTGATAATTTATTAAATCGTATTGAAGAAAAATATGAGCCATTGTACTGTAAACACAAGACTGACTCAGAATAAATGAACTAAGACAAAGAAAGAATACTTCAAACTAACAGTAAACTGAAGGTAAAATGATGTTGATGGTTTGTTTTATCATCACATGCATTACATAAGAATAACTAGCTGGCCTTTTCAGTTAACAAAAGGTAGACAAACATTTGCAACATGATTCTTCCTGTTCTGGCCACATGTGTGGGCTAGCTATAACCCTGACAAAATGAAATGACGGGATGGAAGTCAATGGGGGAATGACTTGCAAGCCAAGTTACCGCTGTTGTTCTCTTCCCATGATGACCTGAGGTATTCGGTCTCACCTGGCAGCTGCCATCCTCTTTGGCACCGCAGTCACAGAAGAAAGAGCCATATTTGGCATAGGAGATCTCATGGTCTTTGTGACAGACCTTGGCGCACACTGTGCACACACCTACCCCATCCACCATCTTACAGGTGTGACAGTGGTACCTGCAGGATAAAAAAGGCACCACAAGGCTGTTTATAGTGCATACAAAATGTAGATGCTTTAGTGCTGCCGGCATATTTCTACATAAAGGAGTTTCACCAATACAAACGACTACTTGGATTGATGTAAATCTATGTTAAGTATGCTTTAAAGCCCTTTTCAATCCAAGTTATTTAGGGTTCAAGGCACATCTATTTTAAGGTGCAACAGCCTTACAGTTTGTACCAATACATCTATAACCTGCTAAAAACCCCTTACCATGATTAAAGAAAGTCTGGTCTCATCAAGGAATAAGACAAACATCACAGGTAGCAATAAACGTTTCTTTACCAGTGCTGGTTCATGAACTCCTTCTGAGTTATGGTGAAGGTGCAGAGTTTGTTGCAAAGGGAGTCTTCATCCTGTCAAACAAAGACACACATATTAACATGTGTTGTTTCAATTTAGGTCAAGCTGGATTCCTTGCATCTGGTTAAAGAAAATGTGAAAACCAATTCTAGTTCATTTGTTGTTTAGTTTACATTCTGCTGGACAGTCCCATTAGGTCAACTGGGACACATACTATGCACCTCAACCAGATGGACTTTCAAGTTCAACCGCAGCAGGAACATGACAGCATTCTGGGGCAAATGGTTTGCACCAGGTTTAACATTTTGCAGTGTGTGTTAGGCTTGGGCGGTATGACGGTATTACGGTATACCAGGGTATTTGGAAATACCGTCGGTATGATTTTCAATACCGTGACGTCACAGACTGTGCGCCAAATCACAGATCCGTTTCATTCTATTACACTGACACGGAGTTTTGACAGGGACGACATTGGTTGTAATGCACAGCACGCGCCAGCAGAGGGCAGGGGAGGGCAGTCCGTCTTTCCCGCTCTCAGAGCTCAGCACAGAGCTGAGCTGAGCAAGATGGCGGCAGCGTTTGCCGGCCCCGAACTCGGACAACTAGTAAAAAAGAAAAATGCCTCTGCGCCTGTTTGGGACTATTTTGGGTTTACTCGTCGCCAGTGACTTCATCCAGCACAACGAGAGACAGAGGCACTTCTTTGGGAATGTTTAAGACGGGGTGAGTGAGTGTTGACATGTTTTAATCCTATGCAACTGGTTGATGGTTTTGTAGTCGAGGTCGGACGGTTTTAAAAACGAAAGCATTTACGTGCTAAACATTCACGCGAGTAATCCAATGAATCAAATGGAAATAAGGTTTTTAACACATGCACGGAATAATATTGCCAAACTAGTTAGTGAATATAGCAAACTTTATTCAATAAGTCAAGTATTTACTCCCGGAAAATGTTTATGTATGATGATATATTGTTAACTTAGCTCACTATGGAAACAACGTCGGACATCTACAAACTCTACAAAATGTGCCATTTGCACAATGTGTCATGTATGCAGCCCTTGTTTTGCACTTGCGCGCACGTCGCGGCACTTTGCGAGCGTCTACCGGCTCGGGCTGCATTTTACACCGAACATATAATATACCGTTCGAAACATCTATTTGCCGCCGAACGCCACCTCACTCAAGTCGACCCAAGTCATACCGTCAGTGGCGGCTGGTAGGAAAATTATTTTGGTGGAGCTGTTGATATAGTGAGTAAAAAAATTTTTGGGGAGAAATTACCCACCGCTTAAATTGGGACTGATACCCGTCATATACGCGTATACCCACGGTATGATGTCAGCAAGGTATGACGGTATGAAAAAAAATCATACCGCCCATGTGCCTAGTGTGTGTATATTCCCTAGATCAGTTAGCAGACTTTATGTATAATAATAATATTATAATATGGCTTTTCTATTTTGTTGGCCGTTACAACATGGGCCCTATTTCAACAGGAATAGACATGAAGGGGAGACATAAAGGATAAGATCATACAGAGTCCTCTGCCTGGGAATCATCCTCTTTCTACTGCAAGTTCCTCCACCCAGTCCGAGTCCACCTCCATTGGGCCTTCCTCTTCTCCCCTCCATCAGCATTGCTGAGGTGCCTTTGGCCACTGCTTTGCCGCAAGGCGTTCATCACATCAGCCAGGTAAGAGATGATGATGTGCACGAGCCATTNCCGTTCAAATGAAATCGCCGCCAATCATATTTCCACACTTGCGCCGGGGGAGGGGCTACAAGACGTGCGTCTTGTGCTGCATTCACTTGCACTCGGACATTAGAGATTTTCTCTCATAAATGTCCGATGAGCCACAACTTTTCTTTCAAAACAAATCTGCCAACTGGGGTGGCAAGGCCTATTTTCAGGATAGCAGTTGCCCCCCCAGGCCACCCCAGTAGGTGAAACTAGGCTACTAGCTAAAGTACAGATGCAACTAGATGAGCTGTTAACTCTCGCTCTGACTTCTTTTTTTACGACACACGCATTTTTCCCACCCGCATTCCGCGAAGACCCGCCCTACTGTGCCTCTGATTCGCAGACTGTTGGTGGGGAAAAAACGGTGACGGGATGCTGAATGTGATTGGACCAATGCGTTTACAGACACACACAGACAGTGGAACAGTCGGACATGCAGAGCGCTGTTTGCAGTGGACATAGCGGAGAATTTTGACTCGTTGTGTTGTGGCGATGTCTCGCAGATAACACAGATACATATGAAAAGTATAATTTGCTCAGAGTCCAGAGACAGTTGTGGTTCGGTCCAGATCCGGACCGGAGTCTGGACTTTGAGGATGCCTGGACTAGGCCATGTTAGACAAGCAAACCAGTGGTTAGTTTTAGGGTAAGCTCCATTGTTTTATTTTTCATGTATTCACTTTAAGAGAAAGGGATTTCAGAAACAAGTCTCACAAGTTTGGCTCGAAGTAAAATTAACAAAAGCTAACTGTTGTTAGACTATGTTCCCCCCTTCTAAACTTAGGAAATAATCAGTGCCCTTGGGATGCTCTCAATTGTGTGTGTGCTGTGGTTGTGTGATGGGTGTGGGTGTGTGTTGTGTGTGTGTGTGCGGGGGGTTATTTGATTGTGTGTGGTGTCGTGTGTGTGTGTGTGTGGTGTGTGTGTGTGTGCTTGTGTGTGGTGTGTGTGTGTGTGTTGTGTGTGTGTGTGTGTGTGTGGTGTGCTGTGTGTGTGCTGTGTGTGTGTTGTGTGTGCTTGAAAGGTCCATCATACAAGATCTAGGGGATCTTTGGCAGCTGCGGATAATAAGCATCCTCGATTAGGTTGACCTAATGTGTTCACTCTCACTTCTCGGTCGCTGCGCCAGGCGACGTACGCGGATCCTAGTTTTGTGCATTACTTGCTTCAACTAGGGCTGGGCGTAAATCGTGATTTTATCGATTAACTGAGGTCTGTAGTTCACGTGCGACTTGTTTAATGAAAATCGGTTTTCTCTTCAGACATCGCCGCCAGCGGTCCCTCTTGGCTCCCGTAGTCTCGGATGGGCCCAGCTTGCCCCCCACACAGGCCGCCCCGTCCCGGCATTTACAATACGGAGTGGCTACACAAACAACATGACAACGAGCAAGGGAAGGACTTTGTTCCAAAAAGAAGGCACGGTGTCATCCGTTATGTTCGAATTGGTTTGCGTTCGAGAGGCGATATGGACGCAGACAACCCCGCTGAAAGTATGTTTGAATCTGTTGCTAGCAGGGAGCAGTACAGACAAATTCTACTGGCAGCACCCCTCAAACAACGGCTCCTGCTGATGGGGAAATGTTCGCGCGAGCGGAATGAAAACGCAGCGGCACTACAGCACTCACGCACAGCGCCCGCCAAAATACGTCCACCCGTACAGCAACACTTTTTCAAACTGCATGCCAATATCGACAAGAATTCGGGCCGCTGGAGCAGAAGCCCTTAAGATGCGGTCGGTATAGTAATGCAAGGATATGGTGGCCATATATATGGTGGAAGCTGGGGTTTATTCAACATGATCTCAAAGTTTTGGACGCGCGCGCGCTCGTTACCAAGCGCAAGTTCTTGCTCTCGGAAGTTGCTGCTCGCTATAACCTATAGCAG